GTCACAAGCATTATCCTGACACATTGATACATGTCAATCTGGTACGGCGAGTGTGAACTGGTGATAAATTAAAAGAATGTTTTAACTTATCAATTTTGTTTAGATAAAAATAATATTTCATTTCGTTGGGTATCGTGATCAGAAACTTGATAGATAGCACACAAAAAGAGAATTGGAAGATTGTAATTCGTCAATTAATTAATTTAACAATCATTGGATAAATTAATTAATTGTGTTCGTTATTTATAGGCCCAATTAATTCACGGACCGAATTTAATTAAATGGATTAATTAAATATTGAATCAGGTCAGACCAAGCCCATTTGGGCTTATATAAATATATGACTAACGTTTTCAATTTGTAGAGATTCTCGTAATTCTTGCTAGCACAAGAGGAGAAAATTCTGGTGGCTACAATCTGATATATGTGTGGAATTCCATTAGAAGCTGGACAATTGGACAGCTTTGGGTGGCAGATCAAACTAGGCTGCTGAAACAAGGGAAAAGCAAAAGAGTTTGCAGATCTCGAAAAGACATAACTTTTACCACAATTTTTATCTAAATACAAAAATTTATCTTGGTGGGAATTGAAATTTGTTTTTATTCGGCTATGCATGACAAGTAAATTCCCAACAATGGTATCAGAGCTAACTTTGTGTTTGTTAGGAATTAATTTGCATAATGATAAAATCAAAAGTTGATTTATTTATGTTTTTCTTGAATCTAGCAATTGTAAAATTTATTTTATCTTCAAAATTAGTTTTGAAAACGAAAAAAAGAAAAAAAAATTGGTTGGTTCTGGCGGCTCGTGCCGCTGTTGGTTGTAGCGTGCGCTGTTGTAGCCGGAGTCGGCAACCCTGCCGTGTATTGGGCTGGCAGCTTCGTTCAAGGAAGTAAGAAAAAAAAATATATTTTATTATTATTATTATTATTATTATTATTATTATTATTTTATTATTATTAAGATTTAGGGTTTGGAAATCAGTTTAAGGACGGGGGCTTCTTCTGAAATTTGAGAAATTTCGGGGGGCTTCCTACAATGATCGAAGAGGGTCAAAACTTACAATTTTAAATGGAGGGCTTGTCATGTAAATTTCGAATTTGGGGAGACTTGGTTATAATTTCTTTATTGGGTCAAATTGCAAATTTAAAGGGGATTTAAATTCAAATATTAAAATGGTTTTAAAGTTGGATTTGTAATTGGATTTGACCCATATTTATGAATTTGGCCCAAAACTGAAATTTCTTTTAAAATTGATGATTTCTTTTATTTTGTTAAAATTAGATTTTAACTTAAACATTTAATTTTGACCCTAAATTGAATTTTGTTTTATTTAAGAATTTTGTCCTAAATTAAAATATTAATTCTATTTTTTTAGATTTGGACTCTAATCCAATGTTAATTAAAATTTGATTTTAATTAATAATATTCCCCAATATATATTAAAATTAGAGTATGACTCTAATTTAATAATTAATTAAAATTTAATTTTAATTAAATTATTCCACCCTAATTTTTTTTAAAAGAATTAGAGTTTGACTCTAATTTAATATTTAATTAAAATTTGATTTTAATTAAATAACTTTGTCCAATAATTATGGAATTAGAGTTGGACTCTAATTCAGGATTTAATTAAAATTTGATTTTAATTAAATAGGCCTGCCAATTAAGTTAATTAATTAATATGATTAATTAATTATTTAATTATTTCGATCCAATTTTTTAAATGAGTTTTGTGGACTATATTTACTAGATTCTTGAGACATTGCATATAATATTGGATATTATATAGGAAACATTTATGTGATGAATGTCTATTTATGGATGATTATGGACTCGATCATGTGGATGTATTGAATGGTTGATTTAATTCTTGTCGTTTTATGGGTCTGCGAGCTCTTAATTGTTTTGGATTTGCTAATCCGTTATTATTATTATTGTTATGGGCCTGCGAGCTCTTCATTATTTTTAGACCTGTGAGTCCGTTGTTGTTATTATTATTGGCCTGCGAGTCCAATTTCATTTGGCCTGCCCCAAAAAATCACTTAAATCTAGTCTACACTCAAAGCATCTATCTAAATACTAAACAATAAACTAAATAGATGTTAAATTTAATCTTTACTATATATGAAAAATCAATTTCATAATCACAAAACTACCATTGTTGAAGTTAACTTCGCTCAGTGACTGGATTGTGTAGTAGTCGAGGTTGGGTTGATTATGAGGGTGGTGTGGTCGACTGGATCCCAATTGAGTTTTTTCTTTTCCCTCTCCACTGTTTGCACAAGATGAAGAGAGGGTATTTTTTGTTTTTGATCTTTCACCTCACAATTTAACTTTTTATCCTTTTTTTTAAATGGTCAAAGGCTTTATTAGGAATATGGCTAGGTCAACCGGGCATTTCCATGTATTTCCTCGATGATATTATCACCACAATAAATGTTTGGTATACCGCAATTTTTCTTATCTATTTAAATAATCTTAAGTAAAGTGACATAAATATCATATATTGTTAGCTTATATATTTATTCATTCCCAAGTTTGCTCTGATACAACGAAAAGAACGATTGATGTTGATAAATGAATTGAAGGAGAAAAGTATATATCTCTTCCATAGAAATAAAAGGAGTACAGGCACATGTTTAAATACAAGAAATTACATAACTAATTTAGATGAAAATAGTTAACTGAACAAATTCCTTTAGTGATATTTATCTTTGTGATATCTATTTTTTTTTTGTTCTGATTTGATTCACATATTTCAAAAAGAGGAAACTTTTTTTATTAAATGAGCAAGTAGTAACTTAGAATAAAATTTGGTGGGCAATTATTAATTAACTCTAAAACATACATAATTCTAAAATACGTAAAGAAACAATGGATAATTCTAAAATACGTAATGAATGAATTTGAACCTACATACGAACCTGCATCGTGAAAAACCTAAAAGAATCGATAGAAAGCTAAAAGAAACATACGTAATTCTAAACAATCGATAGAGAATATGAACCTGCATGGTAAAAAACCTAAAAGAAAAACCGGAATTGGTATTGGCTTTTGTGAATTTAGAGGGCTTTTCTCTTCTTAAATTGTGAGAGAGAGGAGAGAGAATATAAGAAATGAAAGCTAAAAGCGAGTCAACATTTTGGGAAAGTTTAGAATGCGTTTGATTTGCTATTTTCAGTTTTTAATTTTGTAATACACTGAAAACATGTTTGATTTGATATTTCTGAAAATACAATTTTGAAAATAAGGACAAATTTATAACATAAAATTCAAAACACATTTCCCATGTTTTATGTGTTTTCAGTGAAAATTAAAAAATATAAATATAAAATTCTAACAAATAAAATTTTAAATTTTAAAAAATTAAAAATCAAGAAAAATAATTTCTAAAATTTACAATTAAAAGTGGAAAAATAAAATAAAATAAATTTTTTTTAAGCGGTAAATGATTATTTACATAAAAATTCAAAAAACAATATTTAAATAAACACGTATAAAAATATTCTTAGTCTACATCGTTAATCTTTATTTTTTATTTTCTATATTTTAAAATCAATTTATTATTTATTTTTATTTTACTTTGATAGCAAGACAAAACATTGTAAGAATCACCAACTTTAAAATGTATATGTTAGATGATAATAAAATGTCATAAATAACTTTTCAAAATTCAAATCAAATGTGTTTTCTAGTTTTTTATTTTGAAAAATAATTTTTTAAAATGATAAACCAAATATGTTTTAAAAAAATTTTGAAATAGACCCTCAAAACAGAAAATAGAAAAATGAACTCAAAACTCAAAACCGAAATACAAACCACCCTCATGGATGCAAATTATTCCTACATTTTTTTTGCTATTTCCCTTTTCTTCTTTGTTTGGCCAAGCTAAAAATTAAAAAAAAATTAAATAAAAATAAACAGATGGTAAAAGTTATCTTAAGCAATAATATTACAAAAGTTATTTTATCCTTGAGTAAAAAGATCGAAAACCTATTCTTAGTTTAACCGTTCCATCAAAATCATAAAATCCACCACTTATCGGCCTATATGCACGATCAACTCGATGCAGCTGGGAGGTTTAGCTCCATACAATCCATCAGACTGACTTTTTTTTCTTTCACTCCATCAATTCACGAAATGCATTGAAGATGCTTAAGTCAGTTCCAGTTCCTGACCCAGAGCCACTAGGATCTATTGGTAAGTCTCATCCGGTGCTTGGACTTGGGCAGCTGTGGGAGGATGGCTAGAGAAGTGGGGGATTTTTTCACTTCAAAAAGTGGTTTCAATAAAAACAGGGAATACCCCCTTACCCCGCTTGGCACAGACCTCGGGAATCATCCTTTCTCCTAACGTTAGATATCGTCTCATATGACTGATGAGATCCATTAATTTATTTTAACTTTAAAATCAACTCATTTAATAGAGAGTAAGAAGAAGAAAGTAAACTATATAGAAGATACGATTAAATTATGAAGTGCGTAAGCATCAATATTTTTGTTCATTTCTAGAACTGAAAAATAAAATAAAATATGGGAAATCAACTCCTAGGCAATAATTAAAGAGAGGTTGTATTACCACCACAATAAATGTTTCGTACAGCACGTTTTTCTTATTTATTAAATAATCATGAGTAAAATAACATAAATATCATATAGTATTAGCTTATATATTTATTCATTCCATCACCATCATCCATACACCTTGCATTTTCGTTATAATATACTAACGATTAATAGATATTATTTTGCATACAATCTGACGTAGTGTATATAGATTAACTGTAAATCTCATTAGAAATCTACAAATTGGCTAGCTAAAACTTTGGTCAAACTTAATTCATTTTACTACTAGTCAATTGATATGGACATTTTCCTCAGCAAAATTATTTGAATATGAGTTTGCGTTCAACTTGTTCAATTCAAACTCATTCAATAAGTCGTTAATTTATCAAAAAATTGAAATCCGTAGTGAACACTGAAATGACAAAGGAAAAATTGATGAAAAAGAAGCTGAACCTTTCCAGCTAAAATTCTACTTTCCAAAGAGTTCAAGTTGATTCAATAAAATTGAGTATTTTCTGCCATATATATGTTCCTCAACATATCAAAATTTAAACTATATGAACATAAATTTATTTATGCAACTAAATTAATTATTTTTATGCCTAATTATAATTCCACCTCAAGATGGATATGAAGCTAACAAGGGCGCGGGTATGCACGAGGAATTCCTCCATGCTCTTGCATGCAATTTAAGAATTTCTCTGGCTCTCTCCTTTGTCTTTGATCCTCGATCAAAAACTTCCAGAACTTCCAGTACCAGGCACAATTTTGCCACTGCTCCAATCTGCAACATTTCTTGTAAAACTCCAGGAGTTGCCGAGAACTTCGATATCGAATGTAGAATTCTTATTCCGCTCTCATTTGCTGTAGATGAAACCCTAAGAATCTTCTTCGAAACAATGGCTAATCCTGCACTGTGATTCAACAGTTCCGCCCTTCCCTCAGCGCATTTGCATAGCAAATTCAGCGCCATAAGCATCAATTCGGAAGCCCTTTTGTCAGAAGAATCGAGTAAAAGGTCAATCAACAAGGGCACTGCTCCAGCTTCCACTGCTTTAATCCTGTTTTTTTCCCATGGACATACCTTGATAAGAACTTTCAGTGTGGCTTTGGAGACCTTCCGAGAGATTTGATCGTTCAAGATATCTACTAATTCGTGGAAGAATTCGGGTCTGAGACTGATCGGTTGATTTGGATCAGCCACTTCGAACATGGATTTCAGAAACATGACAGCATAGACACGAGAATCATAGCTCCCGGATTGCATGACGCTCGTTAAGGACTGGATTAACTCGATATTATTCTGCAAGAGGGATTTTAGCCCGGATCCCGATAGATGGAGATTATAGAGAATGCTCAAGGCTTCAGATTGGATAAACCGCCGGAGAATAATGTTTGGGATCAATTCTGAATCCATAACCACTTGCTTTGTTACCGGGCAAGTATTATTATTCTGAGAAAACAGCCATTTTTCGATGCTCTCCCGATCATATGTTATACCGGTAGAGAGCGTAACAGGATCCTTCATAATCTCTAGACTGATGGGGCAGAGAAAGTAGGATGGAATTTCAATTTCATCCATAGAAGAAGAAGTAATTACAAAGATTTGATAAACCTAAGATCTGATCCAAGAAAAAGGTGACTATACAATTTTAAGCAAGAAAATTAAAGTGAAGAGAAGTACAAAAATTTTGTAAGCTATAGATGAAAATCGAAGAAAGTGAAGTTCTTGTGGAGTTGAGTGGATTGGTTTAAGGAGGATATGGTTTTATATGTGTCTATAAAGAGAGGTAAAGATTCAAAATGTCAAAGTCAAAACACGGAAAATTTTGTGTGTTCAGTTTGTGTGAAGGAAAGAGTATTATTGTTTTTTTTTTATTACAACAAATAAAATTTGGACTTGGACTTTTCTAACATGCAATTTGCAAATGACAACTTTACAAATAATTTTCTTACTTAAATTAAAACACGTGATCAAGTCATGTTTAATTACCATGAAGGAGTAAAACAGAAGAATCTGAGTTTGGAAAAGTTCAATTTTGGTTTAATTAGTTCACGAAAGTAACTTCGACCCGTTATTATTATAATTATTTTTATAAATTTTTATTCAATTCAGTTGAACCGACGTAGTACTTTTATCTTAACAAAAAGAAAAATTGCTAATCTATGAGGTGAGTTGTCGAAAATAAAGTATAGAGAAATAAATTTATTTCCTCTTTAAAAGTTTCAAGATAAGATAATTCAATGTCGAGTATTGTGTTTGTAAGTCTTTTCGCAAACATAATTTTAACAAGAAATCATATATTTAAGAGAAAAATGAATTATTTCTTGTCTTTCAAAAATATGTATGGTACTTCTAATTTTATGACTGAAACATATCTCAAAATCTAGTTCCTTTTGAAAATATAAAATATAAGTAAATAAATCCATTTCTCTCTTTAATCATCGAAAACTTTTATACAATGTGAATTATTACCAAAAAGAAATAAAAAATCCTCACAATTTTGAATTTTTCATTATGTAGTTATATTCTGAGACTCCGAATTAAATAGAACAACACAAATTCTTAGATATGGATAGATAAAGCAAACTGTCACACTAAATTTATTGTTAATAAATACGATAACAATATTTCATAAAATAATTTTTTCAATCCATTTTCGTACAATAATTCAATACAAAACTAAAGTCGTTCTTAATTTTTTTGGTTCGCGCATTCCATCACCGACACCAACTGATCATAAATGCAGGATGGACCTACCAGTAGGTTTGCAACACATGTATGTGTATTAATCCATAGCTGGCTGCCGATATTGACCAAAGCTGGTTGGCAATGGCTCGGACTACATGGAGTTTTTATTTAATCTTGGCTCTATTTGTTTCTCTTTGTTTAAGTCAACCCAAAAAAGTTAAATTTTATTGGATTTTAATTTCATAAAATAATTTATAGTCACAAATATTATATATGTTTATGGAACAATAAATTTCGAGACGAGTTTACTCATACAATGATAGGATGAACAAAGCTATAGACGTAAAAGTCTAAGATGAGGAAAATATTATTTTCACAATTAATTAATTATTGAAAATTCTGAGAATAAGTAATTACAGAAATTTGAGAACGAAAGGTTGAGCTTTAAAGCAAAATGGACCAAGTTTAATATTTGTTGACTATTTTTAGTCAACCCCCCACATGCCAAATTGCGAGACTATCATCTTTTATTGCTTAAAGGGAACTTTTCAATTGCTTTATGTGACCTTTGGGGCACTGATTTACCATTTGAATAGTCCTAATTCCAAGGTTTGGATTCATACTGGGGAAGCTCTTTTTGTTGTGAGATACGGTAATACCCCAAACTTCACGTTAGATATTTGGCTAATATGATTCATGTATTTCATGCTAATTACATTGTCATTTGCATCAATTTTCTAATTGCTTTATCTTAAAACGGTATATTCGATCATTAAGTCTTTAAAATCTTTACATGGTGATAATCTTCGACTCCTCGACCTAGGTGGTGAACTTTACATTGAGCTATGATAGAAAATTAAGTTAACTAAATGTTGGAGATTGGCTTGGTAAGTAATGAAAAATCGAAAGTGTTGGAAATTAGTATCGACAAAGGTTCAAACTTTTCATTCGGCTGATCGAGGTCACTTTAAACCATAGATAGGTAATTGCCATATTTGGGACATGATGCATGAAGTGACATGATCATGACATAATAATATATGTCTCATATGACGTTATAAATTTTTAGGTGCGAATTGTTGAAATCGGTTGACAATCGGTGTAAATCGGGTAAGAAATTAAATGAACGGTTGAGGAATTAGCTCTATAATATATTTTGGGATCTTAGGGCAAGTGAAATGGATTATAAACATGTCAAAATAAGCCAAGGATTCTTGATTTGTACCTGCAAAGATAGATATAAAATCAGATTATACAACAAGTGACCACCTCATGCTTGAACACCTTGTGCTTAGGATGTTTATCATTTTAACACTCAATTTCTTCAACTTTAAGACATCGATCTCGTCTTTACTCCCTAAGAACTTAATATAGGATGAATATATATCTTAAAGGTCACAAATGGATCCAAATATAATGGTTGAAAGTCAAGTATTTCTGCAAAGATGACACATCATGTTTGGACAGCTCATGCTTAAGGATACTTGTCCTTTGTTCACATTTTTCTTCACCCTTAAGCAATATGTGTGACCTCAACCACTTAAAGATCACTCATTCACCTCATAGATAATATATTAACTCCCTTAGCTCGTCTCTAAGTGATTCCAAGTGAAAAAGACGGTGAAAAAGTCAAAGAGAAATAGAAACAAGAAACTGGAATTTCCGGACAGCTTTGTTACTTCACGATTTTGAGGTTTGTATCCTTTGTAAGGATTTATAATTTATTGAATATTTGAACTTGCTTGTGAGTAGGTTGCAGTATTGTTAACGATTTTATGATCCCAAAATAGGGGTAATTAATTACAAGAATTTAAAAGAAAGTAATCTGGACAGAGATCAGGATTTGCTAGATTTGAATGGTTTAAACTTGGATTTTGGATAATACTTTAGATATAACTTGTATCTATGTAAATGAATGTTGTTGTATGAGAGTTAGAAGAATAGAAATGGTCTTCTAATAGCCTAGAATCTGATTGGTGACATGCTCGTAAAATGGAAACCGAAAACAGTCATAGGAAAATAAAACTGCCTGATTTTGTGCAGTGGAAAATGTACTGTTTTTGAAGCTCAAAACCCTTCATTTGTTACAACCTTATGATCTGATTATCTTCACATATATGTTATAGGTCGGTGGTAAGAATTTGGGAGTCATCGGATATAGTTAAGGAGGTGAAAAAGGATTGGAAAAATAATTGGATAGTAATGAAAATCTGAAAACAGATTCTGCCCATTTGTGTTTTTAATGTGATTTCAACATTTACATATCCATTAATTATCTCTTGACCCTAGAAAATAGATTCTAATGAGTACTAGGTTGTCGACAACAATTGGATGACATTGACGTTCATAACTGGACTTGAGAAATAGCGAGACTTATGGGATTAGTTTGTAATGCCATCGGTAACTTGAAATAATGATTTCATCTAAATTGTTTTGGCGTGAATGGACACATTTCGGGATTGTGTGTGTTAAAGTTATTAAATGGAGGACTATCTTTAATATTAGATGGTAATACAGGTGATTTTTCGACGTTGAGCGAAAAGGAAATTGATATACACTTCGTAGGAGTTTGCACACACAAAGGCGAAAGGTAAGTAAAAATTCATTTCCAGCTATGATACAAGAACCTAGTATTTGTGATATGGTAATGTTAAAATATCTACATAACTTTGATAAGAGGCATATAGCACATTATATGATGGTTATAATCGTTGAGTATGAGGTTGTGGAACCTATTGACATCGATTTTTATTAAATATATCATTCATGAGCATTTTCATATGCATGCATGACATGTGATCATGGTTCAAATTCCTGCATGCGAAACATGATTCCAAAGTGAGTTTTCTTTATAAATGTTTTATTGATCACTATTAGGGCACCGAGGCATGTGAGACATGCTTATGTAATATGTTAGACATCTCGAGTGATACTTCCTGAGTGATTGCAAAGGTAGATAGGGGATGAACCTTTGGTGATCACGGGAGGGTGAACCACTCAATTGTACCCTTATGATATTATGATTATTAGCGCTGCCAGGTGGGAGACTTCTTGGGTGATCATAGGGGTAATTAGGGGATGAACCTCTAGTGATCACGAGAGGATGGTCTACTCGCAGGTGTCGATTTCATATTGAGCATTTGATTATTGATATTGATATTATGCAGAGCTCTATCCGATGTATAGTAGGTGGGTCAAGGGCCCTATGAAATGAAATGTTTCAAATGAAATGATTTCGAGTTGATTTTGATGAATATTTGAATATGATGCTTCTTTATCGTGATATTTAAAGTAAATAGCATAGTTGTATATATCATTATTATTCATATTCATGACATGCATGAATTTTGCTTACTAAGCATTGGTTTATGTAATTCTTACATTGTAGGTGAGTCTGGAACTACATAGAGAGCACGACTAGTTGTGGAGCTCTTACGGGATTCCAGAGTTCGATGCACATGGATGATGACTTGTAGGGTTATTTTGTGGGTTGCTATTTTGAGCTTATGGCCTATTGCGTTGTATGTTGGGGATCTTGTGTTGTATATCTTTTGGCATGGCATGTAGACATGTTTATAATCTCAGAATATATATGTTTGATTATGACGATATGATTTTGGTTTAGAGATATAGCTTATGTTGTTTTGTCAGGTGAAAAAAAATGTGTGAAACTCTATGTCTAGGTGACATAGATTAAATTTGAAGCATATAACTACAGAAAATGATCAAAACTGATATTAGGATAATCTTTTAAAATATTGTAATGGTTAATGCATTAGATTAACTTAATATTCTATCACATAACAGTCATCATTTAATTATAAATTATGAGGGTATGTAGTTAATGTTTTAATGAACTAACATGCAGTAATTTTAGCTAAAGATTACTTGAATTGTGAAAAGCAAAATGTTTATATTTAATATCTTATTTTAGTTTATGAATTAATAATAAAAAGAAATTTATTGATAAGTTTACATTTATTAATAGTTTGATTAGGTATTATTATACATCTAGTTCGCGTGGAGTCCACATATGAGATAACT